TGTTACCCAGTAACTTGGCTGCCTTTAGTAACGAAACGCTGCAGTGCACGTGACTTAATCAACGTATTACCACGTTCGTCCATGCCCTTTTCATAGATTTGACATGTAACCCCATAAAAGTTATCGCCGACTTCCTCTCGATTGCAGAGTATTGGGAAGCATACACCAAAGAGCATACCATTTTCCGTATCCATATCTATTATTGACCCAGAGATCATGAAAGGCAGAACTTCGCCAGGAAATAAGATGTGTTGATGCATAAAAAGCATCATGTTGTACTCCTTGCCAACTTCCAAGTAATGCACACCAGACACGCGGTTCATGTTCTCACCCAAATATGAATGTTCTGCTGGTAAATTTGTATCAAAGGTAACTGGGTTTTCAGGATCCGGCTCCTCGATTTCTAATTCGCTATTTTCCGGTTCTACGCGCCGGCGTTCTCTGTTATGTTCCATTGTAAAGAAGGCGCTGCGTAAGCGCTGCATAAAATTTTCTCCACCTCGTCTATTTTGCACCAACATTTCTCTGAAAGCAGCACGCATCAGATCATCTAAAATATAAAAACAAAAATGTGGGACTAGCAAATTTAAAACCTATTTCTCCATACTATCGAAAACTGCGTCTGAAGATGATGAAGCGTCGTCCGATATATCTTCTAGTATCATGTTGTCCTCACCCTCATTTTCTGCCATTGCTTGCTCATCATCATCCTCTTCATCTCTTTGTTCAATCATATCGTCATCCTCCAAAAGCGGTTCAATTAGCGGTGAAGGGTCAAATCGCAAATCTTCTTCATTACCATCGCCATCATTTTCGTCATCACTGAACACTGGTGAATACCACCCGCTATGTGGCCCCTGAGCTGGTTGTTGATCTGAACTGACTTCATCAACCTCTCGTTGTTCCGTTTCAATTTCCATATTAGCTGCGACTGCGACGGGATGTTCCAAATCAGGAACTAAATCATTGTCTGGGACGAGTACAGATTCTTGTTGGTAGCCAATATCGTCTTGTATGATAGCTACCGCATCAT